TATTATAATCACAGATATTGAAATATGGCATATTAGACGCATGAATCACAAAAGTATTGCACACATGAATAGTAATAATATGTGATCTACGAATAGTATTGTAATAATATGTCTGGTACATGTTTTATACTTTAGCTGAATATCTCAATGGGGTAATCCTGATAGAATATCTAGAGAGGCTGACATCTTATAGGTACCTATGTAAAACTCGACCATGTTCATTACGAATAATGATGATATGAGAGGTTATGATCGACGGCAAGACGTGACAACTGTAAATTGATAACATACCATTGAAATGTTTTTATTTTTATTAATAAAATTCCAATCTAATTAAATGTGTATGACAACCTGCACCTCATTACACTACTACACAAAATACTCAACTAGAAACATATATGAGTGAAACGTAAGTTATAACTTATTATTAATTCTTACATGTACAACCTAATTTATGGTTAATGTACAAAGGGATATTAAACTTAGCTGTTTTCGAACTTGAAATTGTATTTAATATAGCAATAAAATAAGTAAATAATATTCACCGTTCATTTATTCTTCAAATACACAAAACTAAATTTGAATCTTAGACAGTTAATCCTGTAAAACATTTTAGTTCTCTTTTGGTTTCATATCAAAACTTGTTTAAGTCTGTATGGGAGTTTAGTATTCAAAAGTGAATAATATGCATGTATACCTACATAATAATCCGTATCCTATTATTCTAGTCATTATCTTGTATATTATACGTGCCTATTATATAATTATGCATAGTAATTGGATTTTTTGTAATTGATAACTACTCGACCTCATGCATTAATAATCGTACCACGTTCAACGTACTTATTATGATAACATTAATTAGGATGTTTATTTATATTTTTAAGACATCGAAATACATATATGAAGTTCAGAAATTGTAAAAAATTTTTCCCTTCTCCCTTGCTCAATATATTATTAGCTATGGTGAGTATAGCAGTATAGAGCAGAACATAGGTATAATACACATTTGAATAAAATTCATATTAATTTAAAAAAAAATTATACAAGGAGTTTAAATTTCTTAATTTAAAATGTATTCATTATTAAAATGTTATTTTACATAATATGTTATAAGTAGATGTTATTTTATTTGTGTATCCACTACATGAATATAATTTACAACAGTTTAATAATTTCAATATTTTAATAGTTCACAAATAAATCGGAAAAATGAATAAAATACATGAATTCATTGATCTTTGTTGAAAAATAACATATTGATTTAAACAAATATAAAAAAGACAAATTTATTGTATATAGAAAACGTTAACCATTGATAATATTTAGTGTGGGTATAGGTAGTCTAGTAGTGTAATATATAATGTATTAATGAATAAATATGTCTATTATTTACATCACCTTATACCAATTTTTCATATTTCAGAAAATGTTGTTAAAAATAATATAATGGGTACTATATTATATTACTACTATATATTATAACCTCTGCATTTGAACTCACCTACTCCAAACACAAGCTACACTAATTGATATATCTATTTTGATATCAAGTATCTTATTATTTGTACAAAAGTTTATTGTGAAATATTATTTGATGAATAAATACAACATTATCAATATAATAATATGATATACTAAAATTAAGATTTTACATAGGTATCAATGTATCTAATATGGCTAATATTTATATACAGCTAGGTAATGTTTGTGTGCGCGTAAGCGATTCACAGCCAAGTCAATCACACTCATATAATTCTAAAATTTAGTATACTCAGCCGTACAGGCATTCCTTTGCCCGAGGATGGCGTATTGATGAAATTTTTTTAAATTTTGAATTTTAAAAAGTGTCTCTCATAGGGATTTGTTGGCTCATGAAAAATGTAATTGTTTTTGGTTTTTCTATGATTGCCAATGGTCACATAAAATAAAACCATTATTAAAAGGTGACCAAAGGTCTAAAACGAATGGCCCTTATACAAATCTACGGTTTTTGAAAGATTTTCACAAAATGTTCGTCAATAGATTCAGCAAGATACATGGTGGTGTCATAGCTCATATCACCTCCTTATTTTTTGATTATTTAAACATTAAACACATAAATGTTTTGTATTGAATATACTGGGCTCACGAAAAACTATCATTGTTATTAATTGTTATATTTCTGTATTGTTACCCAAATACCTGTGTTAAAAATAAATCTCATCTCTGCAGTTTACATTTAACTGAGTTTAGAGATAAGATAAATCCACTGACATTTGATTTGTCACGGGCAAGACCATAGCAGGATCAGCAAGTAAACTTAACATAAATACATTTAAACCTAAAAATTGTTTTACAAAGTAAGAATATGCTTCAAATAGACCAATAAATAAACGAAGAAGGCTATAATAATTTTTTTAAAGAAAATTAATTCTATTACTCACTTATATATTTTGATGAAATTACTTTTGGTCCAGAGGTCGGCAATGAACAATAATATGATATCGATTGAAATGTTTTGAACTAATATTTCATTATGTATATTGTTACGCCGTTGCATATAGTTATTATAATAATATTATAAAATATAGTCACTGATTTAGTAGGAGGGGATTAACACAATAAATCGTATTTTATCTTAATATAATGTCCATTGTCCATGTATTAATTACAAATAATTAATAAGTTATAATTTATATAATTTATAACTTATAACTTATTCATATTCCATAGTATAACTATTATAATCTATAACATCATTAAACACATTAACTAGGTACTAATTATAAAAAATTACCGTACATACATGAAATTTTCGCTGAATATTTATATTAGCATTTTTTTTATATATATCGTATAATTTTCAAAATATATTGACTCATGTTGAGCTATTTATAGATATTACATTTTTGATTTTTATTAGTTTTTTTTTTTTTAATTAATGACTTTTAATGACTTTAATTCAACTTAAGTGTTGTTAAAGTATACCCACTTCAGCTATAATGTACACAAGTACCTATGAATTTGAGTAATAGACGAAAACAAGCTTTCATTATATTTATAAGCCTATAGTATTATATATTACCTATGCACAATAGCGGATTCGACTTGTCTTCTATGGACAATATCTTTTTAGTCCAACAATTTTACTTTTAACTATTTACCCACTTGGGCCTATACAGAGGGAAATATATGTATCCAAAAGTAAAATGTGTAAGCCGTGATTATAACATATAAACATTCTGATTTTCTATACAGATTTTTGGAAGAAAACATTATTTATTGGTAGTTTATGATGTCTAGGAAGGCCATGTCCACTATTCCCCCCTCCCCTAAACGGCGTACCTGTCTATGCACATAACACTGTACCTACCTATATGCAAGGTAATATACAGTGAAACCGCGATAAATTGAATCGGTTAGGGGTGAAAAAAAATTCGTGTTATAGAAAAAATTGTGTATACTTATTGAAATGCTATACTTTTAGACTTTTAGACTAGACGTTCGAGTTATCAAGGTTTCACTGTAATTATGTTGATAGATAGGCGTACTTTTATATCATTATATTATGTTAATTTGTAATTTATTTTTATTTTTTTTTGTATTAATTATATTTTATAATAAATATTCATAATTGTATATTTTTATTATTATTTTATTTTAGTAAAGTATGTAGGTAACTAAAGATGTACTAAATATAAAAATATATATAAGTGTTAAATTGAAATGACCAACAGGCAACAACTGTTATTTAGCATAATACATTGGTCTATCAACCCTGAAAATATCAGAGTGCAGCAATTAGTATGTAGACAGGTAATTATTTTAAGTAAAATAAATTGACATCGCATATATCAAATTTCTTAAAAACGATATCGAATATACCAGCACGATTGTCCTAAAATAACCATATATTCTAACAACATTTATTCAACAAAGCGGAAAACTTATGGCTAGTTGTAGATTTTCATATTTCTACATGTAATATAATCATTTATAGTTATCTTAATCCAGGTATGAATATTATTATTTCTTTTAAAAATACAATTATGATATCATATACAGGTGTCCCGTGAGGGTTTACCCATTAAGAAATCTCTTGAGATAATACATTTATCATAAATCTGTTTTTTTTTTTTATTATACTCACATAGACAAGGACTAGATATATTTTATTTTTAATTAAATTAAATTTTTTGGTAAAAAAGTTAAAAAATTTAATTTTTGAAACAATTGAATATAGACATTTTATAGAGTTTCATTTTCTGAAAAATCTAGTTTATAAATTATAAATAATACAACAAAAAACTGGTTTTTTTCCTGGCGGTGAATCCCCTTCCACGGCTAATGGAAATATCCTCCAGGGACACCCTATATATATATATCATACTTAATATATCTATATTGTACAGTGTACATACATATTAATATTATAATGTACATACCTAATACAAAGGAGGTATAATATATTAAATACATTTTACAATCATTCAAATTGTTCACTATAAACAGTTGTCACCTAGATAAATATTTTTGATATGAATAGTTACAGTGTCTTACGTGACATTTTGGGTGATCCGGACAAACTTGAAACTACCTAGTTATTACAAGATTCAAGTTTTAAGATATTTTTACAAATTTAATAGGATGCATGGCTGGGGGTTTTATACTTCTAGGTATTATACACGACTACCATGTTATGTTTAATCTGTTTTCGCTTCGGAATCGATTATTATTAGGTCTTGGGTAGTTATAAATATAATTAATTATTTAAAAACCTAACCTCACCTGAACTAATTATTTGTAAATTATAAGAGAAAACATAAAAAGTGGTTGGCATGTTAATCCATGTATTTTATCCAAGAACAAAGCTACACAGTTAAGATAAAGTAAAATAATTTTTAATTTTTTAACATTTTTAACTGGCCAGTTTATTTCAATTGTTCTTAACCATATTTGATTTCAATCGAAAGTCGTTTTCTCGTTAAATTGAATGTCAAGACAAAAGATTTAATATGTCATCCTCTTAATTTAGTCTTCTCCTTCATGCTGTTAATTTTCAATATTGATTTTGCTATGGATTTAATGCCTGTGAATATTTCTTTCCCTGTTGACAGAATCTTCTCAGCTGGCAATAGAAAACCGTACATTCCTTTGTCTGGAAGTTCTATCGTATAACTGTATTTTATGCCAGCTTTCCCTTTGGCCCAGTCGTCTGAACATCCTAGAACAAATAATGTATCTATATACTTAGCTGTTCAATATACATTTACCTACGAGTTATAAAATTAAAAATATAATATATATACGACAGACTAATAGCTTACCTATCTACTTATTTATAACTGCTAACATTCATTTTCACAAAAATATTGCCATCATTGTTATAGCCATAGTGATTAAACATTAAAGGTTGGCTATATACTAGTGCGTATCATATAATCATATTACATAGATATTTATAATGTTTTTTTCTCTATGAATATTAATTATCAGTTGATTGTTTTCTATTACTAATATATGTACATATTTTTCCAATGTTTTTTTTTATGGAATACGTGACTATTAAATAACAAGATAGGTATTACTCCTGTATTAATTATATACAGAGTCATCCACCAAGCATGCTCACCCCCATTTTAATTTAATAATGCAATTATTCGAATTATTGACAGTTTTTGTACTATAGTTAAGAAGTGTCCTGTGGCAATAGTACAATACAAGCTTCTGTTTTTCATATGAGATCCTCTCTTTTCTTTTACAGTAAATTATTTAGTGGATAATTTTAATGTTATATAATCTTATTCAAATTTTAAAAATCCAAACGAGTATTTTCTCAATTATTAAAATTATTATACTAAGGATAATACTATAATAGTCCTTAACAATTATTATACAATCATTTATACAATATATAAAGATTAATAGATTAATATTACTAACATTTTGAAATCCCCATAGCACCCATATCTTACAAACCTATTATCATGGACCTATTCTTCTTAGTACACAAAGTTAAAAACCTAAAAACTAATTTTTTGAATTTTATTTTATTTTTATGACATAATTTTTTTTTTAATTATCAACTAAGTAATGTACAGTAGAAAGGGAAGGTTCTTATTATACAAATTCTAAAAATCAAATTTATATAACTGCATTATTGAAGAAAAAATTTTTGGTGAATCACCATATTATACATAATATATGTTACCGGAAAAGATGATAATTTAGGAATTGTCGTGATTACCTAGGCAATATCGAATATTTCTTAGTTTTATTAACATTTTCGTATTATATTAGGCAATGTTATAAATCCGTATTAAAACAAATATAAACATCTTTATCGGTGATGGGTCTGATTGTGTAACATACTAACATAGTATGCGGTCATTGGTCAACCCGGTTTTATGTTATCGTTATTCGTTTTTATTGCTTATAATTCATAATAAAAAAGGTGGGCAAGTGGGTGTCGCTCTGCTGTACAGTAGGTTACAAGTGGGTCATTGTATAAGGGATGGTATTAAATTTGAATTCAATGATATAATATCATTGTATAAGAAAAACGATTCTGAGCGGAGACGGTATGTCCTTCTAGGTAAAATACATATTATATACATATCTATGGTATTAAAAAAAATTGACCTATAATGAATTCCAAATTAATCATATCACAATATCCATTAGGTACTTATAACGCGTTATAGTGTTATACACCAACAACAAACCCTGATACTATCATAGATATATAGTAGATTACTTTAGAAATTTCAAGTACCCACGAATAATATTATACAATCACAACAAAATAACTAAAATCGTAATTCTTGGTTTAAATATGAAATTTTGTCTAAATTTGAAATTAAAATGTCTGTAAAAAATAAGTGTGTTTATATTTTTTTAGATTTTTTGGTTACAGTATGAATTATTTAAGAGAATCTTTGTTTTAAATTTTCAACTCTTAGTTATAAAAACTGAACATTTTATAATTTTTTAATTCCAACGATTGATAATTTTCGAGATTTTGATAAATTTTGTCAAAATTCCAACTATAAATGCTTATAAAAAAATATCGTGCCTATGTATTTTTAAAATTTTTCAACTGATATTGTAACAATATATAAGAAAGCTTGTATTAAATTTTCAGACTTTTTGGCCCACCAAATAAAATTTTATTGACAATTATAAAAAAAAAAACTAAAAAATTTAAAACTGAAAATGTCCGTAAACAGCTCAAAAAGAGTCAAAATATTTTCAAAATTGTATGGTGTATAGGAAATGCTAATATAAACATTCAGTGAAATTTTCATGTATCTACAGTTATTCGTTTTTGAATTACAACAAAATAAGGAAATCGCTACATGAGAAATCGAGTGAAAATCCAATGTTGTAAAAATTTGAATTTCAAACGCTCATAAAAATTTAATTTGACTGTCCGGTAGAGATTTTTTTATTGATAAAGGTAGATAATCTTATAAGGAATCTTGTGTTTCATTTTCAAATCTTAGATTTAAAAAGAAAAATTTTTACGAATTCTTAACTTAAAATAATTTGCTAATTTTCGTGATTTTTCCATATTTTGTCAATTTTTGAACTTTAAATGCTTATAAAAAAAAATTGTGACTAAGGATTTTTAATATTTTTCATCTGCCTTTGAAACAACATATTAGGAGCCTTCTATTAAATTTTCAAGCTTTCGCAACCAACAAATAAAATTTTATTGATATTTTTAGAAAAAAAACTAAAAAAAAATGGAAAATGAAAATGTCCCTAAACAGTTCAAAATAAATCAAAATATTTTGAAAATGTTATCGTGTATAGAAAATGCAAATATTAACAACCAGTGAAAATTTCATGTATACAGGGTGATTTTTTTATCGAAGAACACTCATTATTTCAAAAAGTATTAATGTTTAAGAAAATATTTTTTTACATAGTTTCAAGTTGTTAAAAAACAATATTTTTATTAAAAAATTATATTTTTAAATATTTTTTATCCTTTTAATTTTTTAAGTTTTTTACTTTTTTGAATGACAACATCTAATTTTAATTTGATATTCAAAAACAGAATATTTTTCTGAGTATTTCGATACATAAAAATTGAATTTAGGGCAAGTAGTTTATGAGTTATAAGTATTTAAAGTTTAGATGAGCGGAGTAGAGTTTGTCCTCTACTCCGCTCATCTAAACTTTAAATACTTATAACTCATAAACTAATTGCCCTAAATTCAATTTTTATGTATCGAAATACTCAGAAAAATATTCTGTTTTTGAATATCAAATTAAAATTAGATGTTGTCATTCAAAAAAGTAAAAAACTTAAAAATTAAAAGGATAAAAAATATTTAAAAATATAATTTTTTAATAAAAATATTGTTTTTTAACAACTTGAAACTATGTAAAAAAATATTTTCTTAAACATTAATACTTTTTTAAATAATGAGTGTTCTTCGATAAAAAAAATCACCCTGTATACGTTCATTTGTGTTAGAGTTACACCAATAACCAAAATCGATTTTTGGAAAACCAATTTTGCGTAAAAATTCCCGTTTTTCCTTAATTTTTATGTTGTTTTTCCCGGCGCTTGTGAAAACTACTGGGAAATTTATACTTTTGACCCCCCAAAGTACCAACTAGATATCAGAAAAGCTACTGATGAAGAAAATCCAAGCACTTTTACTGTCCTAAAACGTGATGACAGACACAAAAAAAAATAAAAAAAAAATAAAAAACACACATCATTGTAAAATCAATACATTCATCGTTTCACTCAGAATCTAAATGTCAATAATTGACAAATGTAAAATTATCGTAGTAGGTATAGGTATAGTTATGGACACTTACATGTGCAATGCAATGGTAAATAGCGAAGTGTTAATAATTGTGTTTAATAATCTCTGTTTCAAAATGGATTTAAATGAAATGCGTTTAAAATTGGTCAATCACCCAATGTTATTATTAATTGAAAATAAACGTAATGACAATAACTTTTTTTTTCGATAATGATGAATATTGTATACGAATCGAAGAAATAAAACAATCCAAAATCGCTGGAAAAAAGTGTACGAAAGATTATAGATTAAAATCTCATATTTGTTTTTAAGATGAAATTTCTTTATTCGAGACCATTAACACGACAATTGTATAAAGCATAAAGGTTATTACCTCATCTGCCCGAATATCCAATGGTACCATTTTTAACTAATTATACCCATTTATAAACAAAAAAGAATTTATCGTGAACCTTAAAATCGTTGTGTGAGCCCCTCTTAAAAATTCGAATTTCGATCAATTCTTACGTACCTGTAGTGCATCCCTACTTGATGGTGCGAAGGCATCATTCAAATGTCAAGTCTAGCCATCATAGTTTAGGCTCTACATTAATACTCCAGGACACGTTGGAATCGTTAGATTATATTTTATAAATATTGTGTACCTGATGTAGTGTAAAGCAGTGATGGAGTTGTACCGAGTTGATATTGTGAACCATGTACTTTTTGAATTGCTTCAGTTGCTTGTCTCGCTAAGTACATCATGTCATCATAATCATCCGCAAGCTTTTTTGTGTGGCTCCAAGGTATCAGCCACATTTGTGAGTAAGAATGGAGAGTTAAATATACCTGAAATCATTTATTATTAAGCAACATTTTATTCGAACAGTGCTGCGATTTCTCATATTATGTTTGTAAATTTATAATTTTGTAAAAACTAATAAAATTGGAAACTGAAAATGTCCGTAAACAGTTCAAAACAAATCAAAATATTTTAAAAATTTTGAAAATTTTATCATCTATAGAAAATGCGAATATAAACAAATGGTGAAAATGTCACGTATATATATTATGTAACTTGTTATTTGTTTTACACCAAAAGCCAAAATCGTTTTTGTCTAAAACCGGTTTTGCGTAAAAATTTCCGTTTTCTTTAACTGTTATGTTGTTTTTCCCGGAGCTTTTGAAAACTATTGGGAATTTAAAATTTTGACCTTCCCTTCGAACATGATATTGAAGTTGAAAATCGAAGCATTATTTCGACTAATTATCGTGTACAGACCCCCAAAAAAAATTAAAAATTAAAACATAACAAATAAAATAAAAAAAACACACATCATTTTAAAATTAATACATTCATCGCTCCGCTCAGAATGTAAATGTAAACTTGTGATACATAATATATTTTGTTCAAAATTTACTTGTATTCTATCTTTGTGGTCTAATATAAAATCAGATACTGCTCTAGTTTCTGGTTCTGAAAAAGCATGTGATCCAGCAAAAGTGTCAGAACACGGGTCTTGACTAGCGCCAACTCCAGCCCAGTGCCAATCCCAGTTTCTATTTAAATCAACACCTTCACAACCATATGACATATCCCACAGAGTTCTAAAAAAATGTGTTCTTAATTAAATTTTTCAAAAATGTAAATTTATTATTATTTACCTTCCCGATTTTGTGGTTGCAGTCCTCCTAGATTTTCTCCATAGACGATCGACAGTATGGCTATACTCGTAACCATCTGCGTTTATCATTGGTAAAATATACCAATCGACCTCAGAAATCAATGTTCTGTAAGATTTATTTTCTACTAATTGCCTTAAAATGAATAATGCTACAGCTGGTGATATCCATTCCCTGGCATGAATTCCTATCACCGAAAAAACCAATTGACGTCGTATATAATCCAAGTATAAACGATCAAAAACAAAACTATAATAGCTAAAGTTTTTGATTTACATTTAATTTTTCAAATATAATACTATAGTTATTACATTATACATTATACACTAAATGTTTGTTTGATGAAAACGAACTACGTTCAAATGTTGACTCAAAATATTTCATTTTTATAATTATTGTTCCCTAAAAATTTTCTTTGATTAAACGAAAATATTTTGTTTAAATACTTATAATTATATAGGTAAGTCAAATCCTACTATTTAAATAGATTTAAATTGATGCAAAATTTGCTGTCTTAAAACCTTATAATTTTCAGTCTTTTGTTTTAATTTTAAATCTTTTTTAAACTGAGAAGTTTAAAAGTTTACTGATAAGTTATAAAAACGTTTATCTCAGTCGAATTTATTGTACACAGAAATGGTATTACTAAATCCAGCATATGAAACCATACCTATCCAAAATAATCAGTTTTTTTTAAAAAAATGGTTCAGTTATATAACTTATGAAAATCAGAAACAATTCAAAACCAGTATCACAAGTGTATAATATTATGTAATTATAAATATAAACTAGAGGAATAGCTGCACAGTTTTCAACTTTTCAATATGTGATCAAAAATGGCTTAGAACTAAAAAATAAAAAACAATATGTACATAATAATATTATATTCTTTGATGCATTTTACCTCCATCAATCCAGATTGCAGGCTTGACAACGTTTTCCCTAGTTTGTCCACTAGATATTTTTACTACTTTTAGTGGTCGGCCTTCCACAGTTTTTCCGATAGGCATCAATTCTACCAAATGAGGATAGTTTTCTGACAAATACATTAAGTAGTCAAGAATATCTGAAAATTTTCAGAGATGTTCAAATATTCACCAATTTCATAATTAATATTAAAATAATATATTAATATATTATTCAGTACCTAGCTCTTTGATGTAAAATATGTTGAATTTTAAATCAACTTTATTAATTATTGATAGTTACCAGTTTAGGAAGAACTACCTGCTTAAAAAAAATATATTTGCGTTGTATAATATAAATATATAATCATCGTGAAAATAAATAAAAATTGTTAACTTAGTCACGTTACTACCTTTTGAAAAAAAAATATTAAATGGTATTATCTGTATTATTATTTATCATATTGAAACTAAATTCGGAATAACACAATTTTTTCTATATGTAAAAGGTTGATTCTTAGGTATGAATTATTTATATATACTTAGATTTTAAATTGTTTGATGTCTATTTTACCTTGATAACGATGATATCTAGTCCAAGTCATTACATGACCTTTTGTTGCTTTTAATTCTGATTTCTGATTAATAGACGGTGATTTAGGGTTTTGTTTATGTATGCTTCTCTAATAATCATCAAACAATTAATTAAACAATGCTAATCGCTTTTTTAAATAAGTAAATAAATTGTATATTTGTAATTAAGCTGTAAACATACTTCTAGATCGGAACTGAGTACAATGAAGTTGATTTCTCTTTGTGTTAGAAATCGTTTGACGTCTCTAGCTACACTAGGTGGTAATACGAGATCTGCTGTTTTATTCAACCGTATAGGCATCCAAACTTGCACTCCTGGTTCTTCGGACATTGCTTCTATATCAAGTACTTCGTCCTCGTCAGACGGTAACACTCTGATAATTTGAAATTTCTTGTACGATACTCGAGTGGGTGATTGTTTCTTGTTTGATACACCACCTATGATATAACAAGAGTTACATTTTCTGAATTCATATGATTAAACAAGTTATAAAAGTTCGCTCTCCGACAGTGTTAAATTCCTGTGCTAAAAAACGTATTTTATAAAACAACGCAATCAACTATAATTACATATAAAAATTAAAAAGAATTCGGTAACCTTTAAATTTTTGTACTAATGTTTTAAATATTGGCTAGTATGAATCTAAATTATGCTAAAATGTTGATATTTTTTAATACTGGCTAGTATAAACTTACTTTGAAGTTTGAATAATATAATATAATTGTGTAGTACCTAACTAGTAACTAGTATAGACTATTAATGAATAACTTAATAATAATATCAATAATGTACCTACCTATAGAGTGTAGGAACTTAAAACAGAAAAAATAGATTCCTGAACTAATGTATTGATATTATATAAATATTTTTAAGATGGGCATACATTTTAATGTATATGGGATTCTATTTATTAACATTTTCCATTTTTTTCTAAGACATAATATTTAAATTTATCTTCAACTATTTTCATTTTGGACTTGGAATACATTGGCCAATAAATATTATTATTATGATCGAAAGTTGATATATATAATATCACGACACTATCGCATGGCCATCCTTATTTAATATTATAAGACAAACCATAATGTGAAAATTTACATCATATAGTTATATTTTTATTGTAAAATTACCTGAGATAAAATAAATTTTATATTTTATCACGAGAAGTATACAAATATGCATAATCGTTGTAAATTACAAAAAATTGTAATATCAAGTTATACATCAATACTATAATTAGTCCAATTCGTTAGATATTTGTTCAGATTTGATTTATCTGATATAAAATATAAAAAGTTGCAATATCTATTATATCCGATCTTTAGTTATAACTTATAAACATATTATCATCATTGCTTATTTTTGCGTATTAATATAGTCGACTAAACTTTTGTTTTGAACAATCTTATTTGAATGATATAAATGATGTGCTTCATAAGAACAGGTTACTATTTTTATTACCAATAGTTTAAATCTATTGGTAGGTATCTTAACTGTTAATTTACCATTTAAGCTATTGAAGACCATCAACAATATGCATATCGAATTAATGGGTCAATAAAAATAATTTAGAATTGAGTTCAATTGTTATTCATAAAAAAGAACAATCTAACGATTAAACTTCGAAACTAATTTGAAGTGCTAATTTCATAAAATTAAACAAGTATAGAACTCATATTATATAATAATATTATAAGTAGGTACGCAATGTAATATATTTCTACTTTTATTTATTTATATTATAAAATATTCTGTAAGGTATAGGCACCATGAGACAAGAATGAAGACCATAAAGTATTCATAATACTTTTCATATTATCATGTTATTCGTTATTACCTATTACAATATTAAATTTTATACAGACAATATGTATCCGATGGCAGTCTCTGTTTATTATAAATTAAATTAAATAAACATTATTATAGGTACCTTGTTTTATACGTCTTTTATATGACAATTGATTTTAGTAGAAATTCTTAGTAGATTTTATTCGTATTTTCTAGTACAAAAATTATTATTTTTTTAATTTTAGTATCCGCAGAAGTCGTTAGTGATAATTACTGGTGGTTGACATAAAGAAATATGAATTTAACCTCATCAAAATTACTTTTATACTTTATAAATTGAAATACTTTAAATTGATGCATGTGGAGATTATAAATATTTAATTTACCGTTTCACAGATTAACCAAAATGTTTAATGTCATTCACTATCATCAGAAATCATTTAATAATAATAATAATATATAAAATGTGTTATTTTTGTATGACCTTCAAAGTATTGAAGTGGCAGCGTTTAAAAATTGTTACAAACTAACTAGCTAACTGTTATAACTAACTGTTATAAACTAACTAGCTGAATAACCCGGCGTTGCTCTGGAAAAAAATTGTGATTAATTAACTCCTTTTGGGTGTAATTCGCTCTGCATAGGTATGGAAGCAAAATCATATTATATTTTAATTTTTAGCCATCCCGCGTGGCGTTGCACGTGAGTTTCGCTTATGGTAATGCGAACAGTATATTATCAGGTAGGCAATCTACCTGCGGTAGACTGAGGACACATAAAATATAGGTAGCCTATATTAGTACCTACAGCTTTGTAGTTGAAAAAAAATTTGTATACAGTGTACCTAAAATAGTATTGAAGTCATGGTTGATCATCCCGGATTTTTAGGAGTATTTAATATTTATATATTAATATATTTTGGGGGGTTATTTTATTTATTTTTATGGAAAAACCGTCGTAATTGTACCTAGCGTTGTGAAATAATTCGCATATTATATAACTTACAACCAAAGGCAACCATTAATAAACAAAAAAAAAAGTTTCGATTTCCCCCTTGAATCTTAAGATCCCTGTTTTACCACTTCTTTAAAATTCGAATATCAGAAACTCCTTTCTTATTGTGTACTAGATCAATAGAATTTGTATGTGTATTGGTTTATGTTGTCGGTGAGCATTTTATCGTTTAAAATATAATTGGAGTATTGGTGTGGCGAGATGCATGAGATTGTTTTTATCAATAAACTTCTAGAAACAATTCTCATCGTTGACCTTCGACAAAAAGTATAGGTTACAGGTAGCTGGAAACCCGCCGTTATACGTATTTTCGGTAATTAACTATAATTGTTAATTACTCTACTAAAACTCAACATTATTGAAAATTATTTCTTAATGATCGGTGAAAATATGAGAAGAACCTCTATTCCAAATTTCAAGTTCGTACGTTGTGTAGTTTTTGAGTTACAGCGATGAGTGAGTCAGTGGTATTTGGATTTTATATGTATAGAAGATAATAGATAACTATAAACATTAAACAAATTAACTTGTTTTTTTACATTTTTTTTTATACGCCTTAACTGCATCTACTGTTATTGACGTTTCTAAAGATAGATGCATTAAAGGTACATTAAATAATACAATTAATTAACAATATAATTAATTCAAGGGGGACGGAGTGGCCGAGCGGTCTAAGGCGTCGGTTGCGACGCAGCCGTCGCCGGATCGATTCTCGGCCGCGGGCGGCATTTTTCTTAGGACAAGTCACGGTGTCCGGAGAACAAGTGCCGCCATCCCCCACCCGGGCATGGCAGATACCTACGGGTGCCCAAATCGAAAATTCTGCCAAAACACACACGTGTTAATAAACCTATAGTACCCCCCCCCTTAAAGTACCACAGGCTAATGACCTATGTTGTCGAAGCCTTAACCCTAAAAAAAAAAAAATTAATTCAAACAATATAACTGTCAAGAGTTACTATGTTAAATTATTGCATTAGAATAAACTTCTGTGAATATTTTTTGTAAGAACTTTAATGTATTTTACCTACAGTTATTAAAATTAAAATTGTTATAATTATTATTATTATAAAAAAAAAATACCATTTAATTAGTATAGTAGTAATAATATAATGGTAATAATAGTAGTAAAGGTAATATGTAAATCGTTAACTCTTTTTTAATTACACTTTCTTCAAGTATAGAACATTCAGGTTACGCCTTCTAACTAACGGATGGACAAATCGACGTAATTGTTGATATTATAATATATAGGTAATAATGATTGATGAGTGAACGTTCAAAATTTAACAAATTGAAAATAGATTGATACAAATACATTATGATGGCTACTAATACTACAGTACTACCGAATTTGTGATCGTGTCGATGTTAAGAATAATGGTATAATATAATGTAATATGTATAGAGTTTTCTACAACTATTATCAGCCACACACAGATATTATTCTGTGTTGGGTTTGATTCGTAAGTTTCAAAATAAAATTTATAATTGAATTAAAAAAAATAGAATCCTTATAATTGTTATTTAAGGTTTGTAGTAGTATTTTAGAGATATCGTTTGCTGCTTTATTCTTCGAAATGACAGTAAAAACGAATGCTGCGTGTAATATTATTGAATCAAAATTCAATAAAAAATTCTAAAAAAAAATGTAGTGTTCTGTTGCAGTAGGTTTAAGTGTACAAATTGAGGAACCAGGCCCGTGACTGTCTCTAGTTCTGATTTCTTCAATAAATATGACGACTTGGGGTGGGAGGGTAGTGTAAAAGAAGGTAATAGAAAAATAAAAATTAATAGTTAGAGTTAGACATGATAATACAGGTATTGAACACTTGTCTTGCTTCGTCGCAAAATAGTTGTGTGCTGTGTTGTTAAATTTGTAACCAACGATAAGCCATTACTATGTACTCATGACTCATGTGCACTACGAGTACAATAAAATTTTTTCACCACTTTATTTCCTTGGTTTTGTCTCAAATTATTTTCGAAATTGTTATATGAAATTTTATATTTTATTGCTCAACTAGTACCAAATAATACAAGCAATTTCACGAAGTACTAAAAACATACACGAACGTCAGTATCACAGTTAACCAGTATAATTATTTACTTTTACGGAGATCTGGGAACAGTTCCCTAAGCAATCTTTAACACCCCTAATAGGGACGATTTAATTGTAAGCAATATAGGAAATTCAAACAAAAAATTGAATTCATTACAACATTTTTTTTTATTTTGTAATATTATATTAACATTGCGTTTTTATCATTTTTCTCCCATCAACTATGTTTTATAATAAAATCAAAGAAGCTGGAAATTATAATAAATAAGAGAAATGCATTTGAAATAATGTAGGATAACATTTTAATTTTTTTTACAAATATTAAAATTCAAATCATTTTTTGTATCCTATAACTTATACATGTTAATCTATCATTTAAAATTATAGATTATCTAACTAAAACACGAAAAATTACAGAAAATCTATATTATCATTTAAATAAAATGGTATACAATTTGTTTATACCTATTATGTTATAAAAAATTATATTTTAAAATGGGACGAAAGGATTCTGTAGTAGACATTTAGTATTTGCCTGTATTTTAGTTATTCCAATGGTCTTGCGCCCACGCATAAATATATAAATAGCCTTAACCAGATCCGGGGTTATAGTTCACCCCCGGTCACCTACAGCCATCATTACTTACCCGTGATCGGCGCTATGACGATGTCGAAAATGTATTCCAGGTAACCGGCCACGGTGTTGTACAGTTGGAGAGCTTTGAACGGGAAAACGCTGCCGCCGTCGTCGTCTTCGTCATCTTCGGCCGTATCGGTGGCGGATGCGGCCGCGGCAGGCGGCGTATCGTCAACCGGCGAGGCGGCCACCGAAACGACGACGATGACGGCCACTACAGCGAGCCACTGCAGCGGCGACAACTTCATTTCGTCACACTCAACAATATTGTTATAATATTTAATACGCGACCGTATTGTTCACTATCAAAAAGTATACTGTTATTACTATTAAACGTTCTATTATCGTCTTGGACAATTATTTTAAATCGCACAAATCGGTTATTATAATAACAATATTATGTCTGACGGTCAGGATTTTTTTCCGGTCTGGATGCCACAAAAATAAGTCGACCGCGATTCTGCCTATAATGTGACGCGTGTGTCGCTAGCTGCCGCCGCCGTCCAAATCCGCTGCAGCAACGTCCGACGTCGTCATAGTATTTTATATTATTATACGATATAACTATGCAGTAGTACCTTAAGCTCCTATATTAGGTATAGGCACGATATTATATTCCGGGTATATAATAATATTATAATATTCCAGGTAGACAATAATAGTATTATAATCTCGTGGTGGACGCGCGTACGGTGCGTCGCGCGCTGAGCGTCGATGTGAACTGACAGCACCGTCGGCCGGCACCGGAGGCTTCGGCGGTGCGATGGTAGTTGTACAGTCGTCACGGGCGATTCATCGCGGGTATCAATATTGTATATTTTATTCATCATGCTGTTTAAATATTATTAATATTAGAAGGAACAGATAGGTAGAGACTCGTAGAGTCGCATCTGATTTTCTTTCTCGACGTGGACGACCCGGGTTGTAATTTCTTCGATTACTCGTCCACACTGCACAGCCACAAGTGGTTAGATAATTTATACGTCCTATCCTAGGTGCTCAGCACCGATTACTACTGAACCAGTATAATATGATTATTATGATAGTTAGGTAAATAGTTATACGAATACTGTGCACCGAGATGATGATTTCTGGAAGGAACCAGAATCTGGTCGAAAATCGTATGTGGTACCGGGTGTGATCATGATTTTCCTCCAAAAATGAGATACCATAATTTTTCTCCACTGTTAATTTCCCTTCAAAAAAATAAGAGAATAGTAGGTACTTTCCATTTTCCTTCCCACAGTTTTCTTGGGTAAAAACATGTTATCTATTTTCTTCCACATATTAAAATTACATATTCGTTTTTTAAAATATCACAATTTGTATACTATTTGTATTGGGTATGTATGACATTTTGACATAAATCACTTGATCTGTATTCTTATATAACACTCCTAATATTAACAATATGAAGACAATTAAAGTATTGGTGAACATATGTATATTTTATTTTATTTTAAAATTATTATAAACATTTATATATTATCATATTTTATCACAATGATTTATAATTTTAATTTATTTCATATTTTATATTTGCTTATAGATAAAAATAAATAAAACAATGTTCTTGACCAGAAAATTAATAAATGGATGGTAATTTCTTATTTTGATAATAGACGGAGGAGGAACACTTGGTGGTCTAGATTTGTTATGTTTTTTTTTTTTTTTGGAGTGATAATGAACAGTACCTACAGCCTACAGGAAAATGGAACGCATGGCCATTAAACGTAACCGTACACGGTTGAATTAAACTGAATCATACTTGACATTTTTAAAGATTAGAACCGATATTTGGGTGGTTGACTTAAGGTCATATTTTGATATTAAAATATCGACAGTATTAATTAATGATGTACTATAGCAGTAGGTATTTTGTGTAAGACTCACATAGTCACATGATTCCTTTCATTATACCTGACCGTATACATTTATGGTTTACACTGGTTTAGGACACACATTTAATGAGTCATATTTCTCTCAAAATATAATTTCTAAGACAGTTAAATAAATGTTGTTTATTTGTAATTAAAAATATTTCCCGATTTTCTACGAAAATCCCAATTTAGTGGATAATAGAGATAACAATTTGTTTTGTGTTAAGATCACAACATTTATATTTTTTAGTAAAATCATACGGGTCCCATAATTTTGGACACATGCGAGTTGTCAAATTTCATTATATTATAATATATACATGTATATAATAATATAGTAGATACCTATATATTGTTAATTTCAATGTGTTCAAACGAATTTTCACCTAGGTAGGTACTTATCTATATTTATAATGTACCTACATTATAAATATAGATAATAGGAAAATAGGTACATTATTGTTCAAATTGAATACAGGATAACTTATGTTTGTCACAGTTTAACGTTTTTTTAATTGTAATAGAAAATATAATTACAATATCGATATTATTCTAAGAAAAAATAATGTTAGTAACATATTAAACGACATCGTTATTATGTGTCTATTGTTGAGTGTTGCCAATTGGTAGTTATTTTTTTTCTTATTACGATCTTTACCAAGTACATGTATAATATAGTATATTGTATAATGTATATACCTGGGTACTAATTTTTGAGTCTCGTGGAAATTGAATTTCTATGTATAACTTACCACTTATTATAGTTATTTACCTAATTGATGTAACTAAATAAATATATAAACAAAATGATTATATATATATATATATAGTAGAAATACATATAATATATTAGATATTTTCATAAAAATTAGGAATAGGTACACTATCTATAATTAATATACCTACATATTATAATATTGTAGTGGATAATTTCTTTTTCGTTACATGTAAATATTTAATTACATCATCAATTCTACTATGGCCTTTATTTTTTTGTGCTTTCTATCTGAATTAAATTACGATATAAAATAAGTAAACAAATGTTATTATTAATTTACCTAACAGTTCTGTATGTTTTGTATAGTTATAATATTTATTGTTCTATGAAGTATTGAAGCTACTGTACAAGTTTACCGTTGCAATGTTGTCTTTAACTTAAATGTTTTTTATTTTAAGTATCTACTTGATCTAGGTAATAATTTTGTAGTATATTGTATAAATTATATGGTATGATTAGTAAATCACTTATTTACTTTAGTAAAGTAATTATACTAATATTCAAATTTAAAGTATACATTAATTGTCTAAATAATAAATATTATAACCATTTGGTATTTTGACAGTTAAAACAACTGTTCTTTTAAAAAAAATAGTTGCATACTAAAATCATTGTTATGTTTATTGAACTAATTTAATATAATAGTAAATACCTATAGTAACTACTAACCATGTATAATAACAATTAATAACTACACATAGACATACTATAACATTAACACAATAGTAATATTATAGATGTATTCTAACCTCATGTTATTTTTAGTTCATGTCTTTGATTCTGAGCGGATCGATGAATATGATGGTTTTACAACGGTGAGTATTTTTTCGATATTTTTTTTAGCCTGTGACATGTATTATAATAAAAAAATTTTTTTTTGATAAACAACTTCAAGGGCAGTTAGTGGTAGAAAATTGTGTATACTTGGTTCTTTTGAGTAGTCAAAAGTTTAAATTTCCAGTACTTAGAGTATTTACCTATTAAAAAAAGTAAATCAAATTATTATACAAAAAGATTTACCATAAGGCTGTTCATACACCAATTAAAAATGTCGAAAATACATGGTCATAATTTTTTTTTAAACATCCAATGACATTTCCAAAATATCCTGATTAGTTTTAAGCTATTGCCTATTTATATCACTCAACTATTCACAATGTTATACTGTAAGTCGGTAAGCGGTATTGACTCAAAATTAATATTATGATATAAATGTAAGTTACCTAATTATACTAATTAATAATATAATCAATGCGACGTTTTCGTCAAAAATTAATAATTCAACCCTACTGTATTACTAATAGTAAAAAGAACTATCAAATAATAATATAAATATACATATATTCAAATATTCTTAGACGTTAGACCTTAGTATCTAATATTGTCTGGCGGTCCGTCTCCGCTCGGAATCGTTTTTTCTATACAATGGTTTACCATTGAATTTGAATTTAACACATCCATTACACTATTAGGTACAGTGACCTACCTATTGAATGGCTACCTACTAATTATAGCTGTTTTGATGCCTACTACACAGCTGCGAGCTTCTCAATTTTTTTTAAAAAATACTTATCATTTAGTTATTCGAATATCGTCTATCCCTATAATTTTTAATTTAATACCTATAACAACTTGACCCAGTTAATATTAGTTATTGCAATATAGTTTTTAATCATAATATTTATTAGGTATTCATTGAACTGCGTATACGTTTTATGTATTAATAATATTTTAAAATTAATATAAACGTTATTTAATTTTTAATAGACCTCTGCGTGTTTTATTATACCAACAAACCTGTAACCTCAATTCGTTTGATGCAAATGACTGATTGTATAGGTATTATTATATTATAATATAATTACACCATAACTCATACATAAAATTCACAAGACAATTATATTAAATAGGTAGGTACTGGAAAGTCAATGATTGTCTAATAATTTGATGTATACACAATGTGCGTATATCTATTAATTCGTTAATCAACGTTTCTTCAATATTGTAGATTGCGCTTATAGTGTCCTTATTATTAGCATCGACCTGATAATACATCTAGAGTTCACGAAAGCAAATCGATTATAATGAGTAATGACCATATCGTATTTACATTGTATTACACACTGTTACCTACGAGAGATTTTAATTTCTTCTTCCTGCTGCAGAGCACATCGGTCGTCACTCCGCACTCGTCGTAATGGTTAATTGAAAACCTGGCGTAGACAAGACCTATTGTAAAAAGTAGGTAGTAAAGACTATGTAATACGTAGGTACCTATATACAGTGGTATACTGAATATATCGGTCAGCGATAAAATTATGTTATTTGTCGATTAATTTTATTATAATATATATTTTTTAAATCATTTATTTTTATGTACGTGTGCGCTTAGGTTAGATAGGATTAAACTTCAAATAATTATTGTTATTATTTTGATTTATCACGATAAAAATCAATATACAATAAAATATTAAAATAATATATTCTAATTCATATGCACAGCCTTAATTTCCCACGAAATTCAATTAATTATAGATGATAGCTGATATAGCTTATTAAATATTAGTACGTTTATCGTACATACAAATTT